TTACTAGGGTTTTTTGTTTATTTATGCTTATAAGTGAGTGAGTTTTTGCTTACCATTGTCTGTTATTCGCACCAGGACCCACACGCGCGCAGTGAAACACACTGTTTAGCTCGTCCGGACGCCCCACTCTTCTTTATTTTTCTGATTTCATTCTCGTCCAGCTCCCTTTTTAACGGTTTTTGGAAGCCCTTTTTCACTTTAGTAACACCGATGCATGCAGTTTCTTCACCTCAGTCGCACTAGTTTCGATCTTGTCTTCCATTTTTCATCATAATCTGGATTACCCAAAACTATGTGAAGTGTGCCTTTAATTTTTGAATGACGGTCATATGATAAGCTGGTTTGAAGCCTCCACTAAGCTTTATACAGCCTGTTTTCTGACGTGGCAGCGCCCATTGTGCTATACTTGAGGGGCAACAGCTTAATCCTAGGAGGGAATCCTAGAAACCACTCTCATCGTAGGCGAGATGGATTAGCGTCCCATCCTTTATTTTATTTTTACCTTTGTCACTTATTAGTGAAGCATAAGAAGATAGCTCCAATAGAAATTGCTTTGGTGAAGCCGCTCCGCCCGATATCTTTTCTAACTGTGAGAAAGGATGTTTCTGCGGTACCTACTTCTAATCAGAATTGTAAGTGCTTTCCAATGAGAAATTGGTCCCTAAGTAACGTGTCAAAAATCGCTGTATCCTATACAATAATTATACAAAATGATCACCAAAAAGATAGAAGACCTACCTTTATGTGTTCTCAAACCGTCTATCGCATCCGAAATGATGTAGGCAATCACGTCGATGACACCGTCTGCGTGCTTTTTGAGCTCCTCAAGAATTTCGGCTCTAGTTTTCTTAATATTTCTTCATTACTTGTCTAGAAAATCGCATCGTAAAATCTTTGGAACCCAAACTTCTTTTGTGAGTTTGGAACCAGCTCCTTCAGTCTTAAGGTCCTGTACCAAGGTCTCAGTAGTAAACGTATAGCTTCATGGTATATACAGTCAACCCAATCCCGGCAATAGTTGGAACACTCGAGCAAGCCCCCCTTCTGCTAGAAATTGGGAACAATGAGGAACATGCATGCAGCCCGCCTCGGCCGCGATCGAACTCATGGTTTATTTTCATTTAGCGATCCACAAAATTCATTTCTCTGACTTGCTGAATCATTTTTTAGTAAGGTGTTCCTAATGGTACCTCTTTAACATGAAATCCTACCTGACGATCCTCTCATTGCCACTTAAATTAAGTATGTGCTATGCTATTCTGTTTGGAACGTTTCTCAAGCTTCTTACAATTTTTCAGAGTCCCATTTTTCTAGTGATTCTTGTAACCTCGATCGCGACAACCTCTATATTTCCTAGAAGAACTGAATGCGAAGTTTCAAAACAAAATTTTAGGCTGAAAGAGCTGGCATCTATCCCGCGGAAACTTGAACGACCTCAAGCTGATCGAAGTGAGTAATACAAAAGTTGTTACATGTCATGTTAATGTCTCCATCCTCTTCATGTAATAGTGATTTAGAAAATGCTTGATTAGGGCTGGTTGGGGACGGTGAGACAATATTTTCCATATTTCAGATCCTGGACGGTTCACGAACTGCAGAGCGATGGGCAGTGCTGGACAACCTTCTAAGACGGAGACGAGCATTCTGGCTGAGCCTGGCTTTAGATATTTACAATAATTGGGTCGATGCAAAAGCCTCGGGACACTCGTTGCATCTTTCGCGATCTTTTGCAATACTGAAATCTACAGTCATCAAGTTACATTGCTACCATCATTATCGTTGACGTCCATACAATCGGCTGTCGTCTCCTCCCAAAAAGAGGGGCGTAATAAATCGGAGAGACGAGCCACAGCATTTTCGAGACCACCAAAAGTTTCGAACTTCCTCTAGACAAGGGACTATCTAAGCTGCCTGGCTGAAGAGGAGTAATTCAGAAAAGGTGTGATCAGAAAGGTTTAGTGGGGAACAGTACTACAGCTAGGTTTCTGTAACTTAGGATGCATGGTCTTGTCGACGTGAGAGCGAACCTTATCGCAGAAGTTGTACAGGAACTCATCACACTCACTTGCCCTCAATTGCATGTGCAAGCTCTTAGAGCTGACTCTGCAAATAGTAGCTCTGACTATCTGGTTTTGAAGGAGTTCTGTATGGCATTTTCTTCAGTCTTGGGAGAAGCACAGCATAATACTCCTCAATGCTGGTAAATTTTGTGTTGTCCTAGAGAATCCACTCTCAACAGATTCTTTGGAAATCCAAATTGGTGGTGAGCAGAAGCGACTGGCTGGCCGAGGCATGTGTTTAACGAAGATCGTCATCAGTTGGTGCGGAATCTGGCAAGAACTTTGCTGTAACCGTGTTCCTGAAGGTTTTAAACGATGCTTCTCTGATCGCACACAAGACTCTCCTCCAAATCCTTGCCGACCGTCAGCTTATCCTTCGCTTCGCTGAAAAGTCGGTCATCATCGATACCATCTGGTCGTCTGGAACAAGCGAATAAGCGTCAAACGGTCACATGGCTGCCAAGATTTCTCTATTTGCAGTACTGATGTTGGAAGCAGCGGAAAAGTACTGGAGTCTCGGCGTTTCCGGAGGACCATCGCTCAAAATCGATCTCTCAACATTTGTTAAGCGGTCTTCACAAGACCTGCTTGAATACTATCGGCTGTAACTCAGTTTGTTCTAGAATATGGTGAGGGCATAAGGGTGGCAAAGGCTATGGCAGAAAAGCGATTACACATGTAAATTTTGTCTCAAGACTTTTGCATCAACCTGCTATGAATGTTGCTCTCANAGTTCAGCCTATTCGATTTGGGAATAGTGGTGGGGAGCCTGAGATGCTCATTTTGCCAATTTAATGTCTGAGAGGACGGTGGAAAGAGCAGCCTATTCCTTTTTCGGAATTGTTTCCTTTTCAGAAAGAGGGAGGGTTCCCTGGACGCACTGCAAATTATGGCTTAATCTTTGCCAGCTTCAGCTCTCTCCTTACTATTATAGTTCATATGTTTGCACGTAAATGGCAACTCACGAGCTTGTTCTTGCAAGGCTTAGCGATAATTTGTGTGCGCTCACTGAACCCACCTTTCAAGGTGCTTTTCTTCCCTTACTATTTACAGGAATGGTATGCCGATTCTCTCCCTTCCACTCCAGCATCCCTGAACACTGACGTGTTGGTGGACGATCGTCAAGGGAATTAGTTCGCTGCCTCAACCAGTTCCGGCAGATCGACAGCTGTGCGGTGTGAGAATGAGATGAGGATGAGCTGCGCAATCAAGATGGTATTTTTTATGTGAAAATCCTGGGAGGCTTCAGTCACAGCTCCTCTCACTAGATCCTCTTAAGTGGATACGCATCCATACTCCCTCGGATCATCGGATACATTCGGCAATGACGAGAGAACCCTTCATCGAGAAGTATTCGTCTTCAGACAAGATCAACATGTATAGGATCGCTAGGACGGTCAACTTCTTTCGACGGTTGCGTCGTGAGGCGATCCGAGCGAGGATCAGAAGTATGGCTCTACTGATGTTCTCTATATTGGCCGCTTTTTCATTGCCCTCAGTTCAGGTTGGCACCGTTTCCATCGGAACCGCCTCATTGACTTTCTCTCGGAGACCCTTAGACATAATCTTGGAGCTGCGTAACTGAATCGTTGAGGACTCTCATCTACAGGGACCGGAAAAGTATAGGACTGGGAGGAGCGATCAACTTGGTTCGACGCTTTTGTCGTGAGGCGATCCGAACAAGGATCAGAAGTATGTCACTACTGTTCTCTACGATGCTTACTTTTTCACTGCACCCAATTCAGGTTGACGCCTTCAAAACCGGCTCGTTCTCCTCTTCAAATATCTTCAATTATTCTTGGAGCTGTGAAACTTGTTCGTCAAGACCTTTCGTCTACAGACACCGGATATGTGTATGTTGGACTCCGAGTAGGGGTCAACTTCTTTCGGCGATTGCGTCGTGAGACGATCCGAACAGGGATCAGAAGTATGTCCCATCATATCTATAATGCTCACTTTTTCATTGCATCGGTTCAGGTTGACATCGTCTCCATCGGAACCGACCCAATCTCTCACTCAGACAGCTCTCCAGTAACTCTTGTNAGGACTTCCGTCTACAGGGATCGGAAAAGTGTAGGACTGCGGGGAGCGATCCACTTGATTCGACGCCTTTGTCGTGAGACGATCCGAAAAGGGATCAATGTATGTCCCCCTTTAATGTTCGCTATATTGCTCACTTTTTCATTATACACTATTCAGGGTGGCATCGTCTCCATCGGAACCGGATCACCCTTAACTCAAAATACCCTCCAGTATCTCCTTGAAGCTGTGCAATTGGATGATTGAGAATTTTCGTCTGGAGACACACGAAATCTCGTAGAACCTCGAGGAGCGATCAACTTGATTCGACGCCTTAGTCGTGAGGCGATCCGAGCAGGGATCAGAAGTATGCTCGCTCTAATATTCACTTCATTGCTCACTTTTTCACCGAGCTCAATTCAGGTTGACGTCATCCTCAAAGAGAACGGCCCATTATACAATAGAGGGCTCTCCGCTGGCGTAAATGTGATTACCAATCATAATGGCCCGAGACCGGTTCGCCGCAAAATCGTCTCGGTAAGGATGCTCAGAGACTTTCTTAGGCGAACCTTGGTGAGATACTTGCGCGAGACTAAATCCGAAGAAAATTCACCGAGCATTTTTTCTCTCGCTTAACCTATTACCCATACAGAAACCTGTCTGGTTTTATGCGAGATTTGTCTCCAGGAGTCTACTTCATGTTTATTAGTAAATCTACATGTTCAGGTCGCCATTGCAACAATCCAACCGGGAAGCAGGCGGCCACCTATTCTATCGATAGGCGATCCGATTAGGGATCGGGGGTATGTCGTCTATTGTTGTCTGCTATTGAGTCTTTTTGCTCATATTTAGCCATTTAGATAGGTATGGCTCGCAACTACAAGTCGTCGTACTTACCCAGACGTTATCAACTGCCGACGTCGAATCTCGCAACCTCTCAGGAAGGACCAACGCAGAATAAACGTGCTGCTCCCGGTGGAGATCGCGGCGAATTTCGGATTTCAAATTATACGGCCTATGGTGAAGGTTTGTTAATAATATTTGTCATGAATGCCTCAATTTCCCCTTCAAATTGCTTTTTTTTGCAGGTGATGCGTTCGACAGCGACAGGACCGCAGGGAGGCCAAGAAGACGTCGATTGACTCTAACTTATACAGGTGTGGCTAGTCATAAGTGTGGGCACCTGGGCTTACTAGGTTATTTTTTGTTCTACTATTAACTAATTTCTGCTGTAGGTAACTTTTTTTTGTAGTAGGTGTTTTATTCTGGGGGTTAATTATTGTCCATGGGATAACTTAGGTGAGATTAGTCGTATAGTACCTGGGCATGTAGGTTTATTAGGTTGTTTGTTGTTTTTTT